AAGGCCCTCACACAGCGTGAGGAGGTGCTGAGCCTTTTCCAGGAATTCTCAGAGGATGGGAAGAAACTGACACTGCTGGAACTGGTGGATTTCCTGCAGCAGGAGCAGCTGGAGAGTGAGGGCACAGAGGAGCTTGCCATGGAGCTCATTGACAAGTATGAACCATCGGAGACAGGTGAGGGCTGGCTGAAACATCGATTGTGCTCTGTGTGGGGGTAAGGGGAGGTCTGAGACTCACAATCTCACAGCAGGGGCATATTCACCCCCATCCTGCTGTGGGTGGGCACAGGGGGAAGATTCACTATGGTGTGGTCTGGGTGTAGCTCCCTGTATTTGGTCCATTCCTGGACCATTTTGTCATAGAAGATTGACCAGTCATAGTATGCAAGGTCCAGCTTTGGGGTCCACTGTCCACCTTTCCAAGGCTACTGTCATGGGGCATCTCTCTCTGTGCCCAACCTCTGGCAGCAGCCATGCCCAGCAGGCTGGCAAGGCCAGGAGCCAGCAGCAGCCCTGTTTGCCCTTGTCCTGTCTCCTCAATGTCCCTGGCTGTCACTGAGCCTCCCCCTCTGCCTGCAGCCCGGGCTCGCCACGTGCTGAGTGTTGATGGGTTCCTCATGTACCTCTGCTCCCCGGAGGGCTCCATCTTCAATCCCCAGCACCGGGCGCTGTGGCAGGACATGAACCAGCCGCTCTGCCACTACTTCATCTCCTCCTCCCACAACACCTACCTGATAGAGGATCAGATCCGGGGCCAAAGCAGCATTGAGGGCTACATCAGGTAATGGGGCTACTCCCAGCTGCCGTCCAGCACCCTCCCACCCCAGTGCTATGCCCCAGGCAGCTCCAGTAGGCAAACCTAGAAGCTCCTTTGCTCCTTTGTGGTCCAGCACTCCTCTGGCCATGCCATGTGGTGTTCAGCAAGGGGAATGCTGAGCCCAGCTCCACCTGCCCTGCATGCAGCAGCATCCCCACCCTTGGTGGGTGCCCCTTGGTCCCTGTAGGGATGATACCCATGGGCAGGGGGGAAGGAGGGCATGGGACTGGTGCCCTGGCTGAGTGCGGGGTCCCAGGGGTGACAACGCACCCCTAGGGCTCTGAAACGGGGTTGCCGGTGCCTGGAGGTGGATTGCTGGGACGGGCCGAATGGGGAGCCCATGGTGTACCACGGCCACACCTTCACCTCCAAGATCCCCTTCCGAGAGGTGGTGAGCACCCTGGGGAAGTATGCCTTCAAGGTAAGGCACCCTTCCCCAGGTGCTGGGGGTCGTGGGTGGCCCTCAGAGGGTGGGGGGACATGACTGTGATTTGGGGTAGTGCCGTGTCTCTGAAGGGAGAATGATGCTGAGCCTCACAGACCTGGTGATGCAGCAGGACTGATCATGCTGCAGGAGAGGGTGGCTGTGTCACTTTCTGGGGGGCAGCACTTGGGGTTTGACTCATAGCCTGTGTCATGCCATGCCAGGGGATGGGGGCTTATGAAGACATGATCTGTTGGGGGTGCAGGGATGAGATGGGATATGGAGGATACTGGGGGATTGGAAGGGTATGAAGGTCTCGGGGAGGATATAGGAAGATACAAAGGGCTCCATCCTGGTTGCTATCATGCCTGGATAAAGCCCTTGCAAGAGCTCCCCAAGCCCACCAAGGCTGATCTCCAGCTGTGCACATTGTTACCCAGACATCAGACTACCCTGTGATCCTGTCTCTGGAGAACCACTGCAGTATGGAGCAGCAGGAAGTTCTGGCCCAGCAGCTCAAGGACATCCTGGGGGAACAGCTTCTCACCACCACCACTCACAGACGTGTCCCCACCCAGCTTCCATCCCCAGAGGTAGGGACAGAGCACAGCTATGCTGGGCACCACTGTTCTGCCTGAGAGTGGGGTGAGAAGGTGTCTCTGCTGTTCAGAGAGGCCACGCCTATCTCAGCATTATTCTGCTCTGCTGGAGCACTTGATGACTCTGGGGGTACTGTGTCCTCATGTTCACAGAGGTCCCCAGGGTTGTCTCCTCATGCCATGCAGAGTCAAATAGCAGGGCAGAGCCCTCCTACCCCATCCCATGCTGGATACTGAAGGGAGGTGGTGGTGCTGACCCCTAGCAGTACAGAATCCCAGGGGACAGCAAGCCCCATGGAGGAGATAGGCACCCCAAGGTACCTCTCTATTCCCAACCCCACAGGACCTGAAGCACAAGATCCTTCTGAAGGGGAAGAAGATTGGGCGGCTGGAGGACATGCTGGAGGGGCCAGGGGATGAGGCACCTGATGTCTCTGACGACGAGAATGGGGCAGAGGCAGAGGAGAGGCGGAAGGCAAAGGTGGGTGGCCCGGGCTGGGCACCAGCTGGGACTGTTGAGCCCCTGGACACAGCTATGGGCTGTGGTGACATCTTAGTTCCTAGAGGAGCAACGGAGACTACAGAGGCATCACCAGGCAGGGAGGACAGCCCTTTCTGCTGGGGTGAGAGCTGGTCCCATCAGGAGGGATCCAACACAGCTGTGCCTTGCAGAAGGACAAGGAGACCCTGGCGCAAGCATTGTCTGACTGCGTTGTCTACTGCAAGAATGTGTCCTTCCGAGGCTTCCGGGAGGCCCGCAGCCATTCCCGACCCTCCGAGATCTCCTCCCTCTCTGAGGCCAAGGCCAGGAAGCTCATCCGGGATTCAGGTGAGATGGAGGGGGCAGTGGCACTGGGAGACTGGAACAGTGTGGAGGGGGCAGGCAGCTTCCTCAGGTATAAGAGCTAAAGCCTCCACACACCAAGGTTCCCTCCCTGTCTGGGGGAAAGCGGGTCCTGTGGGGCTGTACTCTGGATTTTGGCTCCAGTAGGTGAGAGTGGGCTATTGGCTTAGAAGACAAAGCAGGACACTTGGATTCCTGGGAAAGGAGAGGGAGAATTGGTGGGTGGGTGGATGGATGGATGGATGGATGGATGGATGGATGGATGGGCAGCACATGTTGTGGGTTGCTGTGCAGGCTACAGAATGACTTCACAAGTGGCCCTCATACTCTACCCCTAGGAAATGAGTTTGTCCGTCATAACACTTGGCAGCTGACACGCATCTATCCCAGCGGGATGCGGACTGACTCCTCCAACTACAGCCCCCAGGAGATGTGGAACGTGGGGTGCCAGATCGGTATGCTGGGGGCATCAGGGCTGTGGGCTGGGGAGACGCCCTGAGTCCTGTGCCAAATGCCACCACTAACACCTATGTTAGTGCCAGCTCCCAGCTGGAGCCAGGTCTGGCTGCTGGCTCTTGTTCTGCCCTGTGGAGCCTGGGGCTATCCAAGCTTTGGTGCCTTATCCGCCTGTATACTCCTGCCTCTCTCTGGCCATGGTGATATGCTGGTTCTCAGGTCCAAGCAGAGCATGGTGTCTCCAAGCTGCCCTCAATCCTTTCCCTCCCATCTTTTTCCAGTGGCCCTGAACTTCCAGACGGCTGGCACAGACATGGACCTGTGTGATGGACTCTTCAGCCAGAACGGCCGCTGTGGCTATGTGCTCAAACCACCCTTCATGAGGGATAAGGAGACTCTCTTCAACCCCAGTGACCCCAGCAGCCGTGAAGGCCCTGGTCCTATCACCTTGACAATCCAGGTACAGGGCTGAGGAGAGACCCCAGTGTAGCCATGAGAGTGTCCTGGGTCTCTGTTGGTCCCAGACAGATGGGGACACTGTTGGGCAGTGTGTTGGCGCTGAGCAGCCTCACAGTGAATTGGTTTGGCTGTACTCCAGCTCATGGGGTCCCTGCCTCTTCCTGCAGGTGATCAGTGGGCAGCAGCTGCCCAAAGTGGCCAGCAGCAAGGCTGGAGCCATCATCGACCCGCTGGTGCGTGTGGAGATCCACGGGGTCCCTGCAGACCAGGCACATCAGGAGACCAAGTACATCGAGAACAACGGTGAGCCCCACAGTGGTACCAGCAACCCTGCTGTACCCAGGCACCTTCCCTGCCTTCCCTCACCCTCCCAGCACCTGCTCTTCCTTCCCAGGGTTTAACCCCCGCTGGGATGAGACACTGCAGTTCCAGCTCCATGTGCCCGAGCTGGCCCTGGTCCGCTTTGTGGTGGAGGATTATGACAAGACCTCCAGGAATGATTTTGTGGGTCAGTTCACCCTCGCCTTTGCCAATATCAAACCTGGTGAGTGGCTGCTGCCCAGTGGTTTTGGGGGCCCAGGACAGCCCTGCAAGGGTGTCTGAGGCTCAGATGGGTGCTAGAGAGGTGGGGGCTGCAGTCAGCCAGAGCCTTGCTGTCTCCCCTGCAGGATACCGGCACATCCATCTTCTCTCCAAGGACGGTACCAGCATGCCACCCTCTTCGCTCTTTGTCCATATCCGCATCACTGAGCCACCTGGTCCTGGGCAGGACTGAGCTCATGGGGTGAGCAGGACCCGGAAGGAAGCCAAAGAGCTGTCCCTGAGGGGCTGGGGCTGCAAAGCCAACCACCTCACCCTCTTCTTGAGATGTCTGTATCATCCCTGCATCATCATTGCTGCTGTGACCCGCTTTGCAGTAGCCTCTGAGGGCTGGGAAAAAGCACTGAACTGACCTTTCCAGGTTCAGGATGCTGCCTTTTGCATGAGAGTGGGGTCTATGCCCCCACAGGCACCCTGCCCTGGCCCATGGTCACAGTTTGGCCAGATGGATGGTGCATGGCTTGACTCTGCTGCAGGGGCTGGTCCCTCCCAGCCAGGGGAGCAAGACTGGAGCTGAGCAAATCCCAGGGCTGAGCAGAGTTGGGAGAGGAGTCAGTCTTCACTGCCCTCCAACCCTGCAGAGCCCCATCCTAGCCCCTGGCTCCTACAGCCCCAAATTAACCCTAGTCCCCTTCTTTCTCTGTAAGCAACCTAATAAATTGTTCGGTAACAGGCAGGTTTGGGTCTGAGTGCAGCAGTGCTGGGGAGAAATGGGGAGCTGGTCTTGGGCTCTTTCTCTGTGGGCACTTGGCTCACTGTTCACACAGAGTCCCAAACAGCCACAAGAAACCATGTTAAAAGGAGTTGAGCAATTCCTTTTATACAGTCTCATATTTTACAACCCATATACGTATATGCCTATACACACACATACATCTCTGCAGCAGGCCTGTGCCGCTGGCACCTCAAAGCAGTCGGGATTCAGCCTCACTGCGATGCACCATCCTTCTCTGTGGGGCACCTTCCTTCCTGCTCCATCTCAGGTGGCCCCTTGGCCTGACTCTCCCTCTGTACAGCATGAAGGTGGACGGTGGGTGTGCTGGGGTCCTTTCCCACGCCTTGGCTAGGGTCGCCAGACCCATGCTCAGGGTGATGCCTCTGGATGTGTTTGATGACCTGGAACTTCTGCTTGGCCTTGTAGGGGCAGTAGCGGCAGAAGAAGGGGTGCTCGTTGGTGTGGGTCAGGTAGTGGTGGCGCAGGCCGGCGGCCCAGCGGAAAGCCCGCCCACAGGCATTGCAGACATAGGGCTTCTCCTCGCTGTGCTTCTTCAGGTGGGTCTTGAGGAGGAAGCGGGTCTTGAAGGCCTTGCCACACTGCTCACAGATGAAGGAACGAGCCTCCTGGTGCCGTGTTTCCTTGTGCACCCGCAGGGCATCTGCACGGTTGGTGCAGTACTCACACTCGTCACAGCGGTATGGCTTCAGGCCTGTGGCAACAGGGAAGGGGATGGTGCTGGGACGGAGGCACAGTGCTCTCCATTCCACGTGTCTCACCATTGCTGTGACAGACTTCTCCCTACACCCCACTGTCAGCGGGCACACCAAGACCCCCCATTTGCAAGGCATCAAAGAGTGCCTGAGGTCTGTACCACCCCAGCTTCCCTCCCACCTGAGCGCACTGCCCTCAACCCATTAGCACAGGAGAATGTGTTGCCCCCCAAATGATGGGTGTCCTCTGCCTTCAACTAGGCCACTGAGCAAAAGCATGGAACTGAGTTCCACGAATTCCCAAGACCTTCCCTGGTGCTCAACAGCCTGTCTGCAGTGGGCAGCACTCACCCGTGTGCTTTGTCATGTGGTACTTGAGCTGGTTCACCCACTTGCACTTGTAGCCGCAGTCTGGGCAGAGGTACTTCCGCTCCTCCTTGTGGATCCGCATGTGATACTGGGCATAGGGCAAGAAGGCAGGGTCAGGAGGAGGCCACATCCCCTGCCCTGGGAAAGAGCAGGGCTCTGGGGTGCCAGTGAGGCACTCAAAGACAGCTCTGACATCTCCATCTGTGTGGGGCTATGTGCTTGCCTTGCAGGCTATGGGCAGGGGGGATCCACAGTGGAGTCAGGCTGAGACGACTGTATTGCTGAGCTGCTTGGTCCCAACCTGTGGATGGCACAGGTTTTGCTCCCCAGTTTGGTACTTAAGGCAAAATCCAGGTTAAAACCCAGCCCAGCAGAGCTAGCCTTGAGCTGAGCACATAGCACAGCCTCACCCAGGCAGCCCCAGGGGCCTCCAGCTCAGCCTGGCCATTAAAAAAGTCAATATTTCTTTTAGCAAAATCAGACCATTTTCCTCTCCATTACCCCATGCCTGGCCCTCCTGTTCTAGGAAAGGCCCTTTACCATGCACGAGGATGCTAATCACAAACAGCAATGAGGGCGGGGTCATGCTCTGCCTACAAGGATGCCAAGGTTTCCCCTGCACCATGTCTAACTGGCACCACAGAGCATTCTGAAGCTAGCACGCAGCCAAACTTGGCTTCGAGTCATACAAGGCTGCACCCAGAGAATGCCAGAGCGGTCAGCACAAAAAGGAGTGAGCTCAGACAAACTGCCCACCTTGCTTTGTTACAAATCCCCCTTCCCCTTAAATTGCAATAGCAGGGGAGAAACACTGTAGACACGTGAGTTTTTGCTGCTCCTGTCCTATTCCTGTATGAGCCACAGAAGAGGACAGAGGATAACACCTTCCCTCGGGAGCTTGGGGCCCCCCAAGCCACACAGATGCAACAGGATACATTCCCAAACAGGGCGCTCACCTTGAGACGAGAGGGGTCGGCACAGGCGTATTTACAGAGGTGGCACTTGTAGGGCTTCTCGCCAGTGTGGATGCGGATGTGCCACGTGATCTTCTGCCTGTTCTTTGTGGTGTACTCGCAGTCTGAGCACTTGTACACGCGGGTGCCCCCATGGCCCTTCATGTGCTGATCAAAGACGAGCTGGTGGCAGCAGGCAAAGTCACAGAAGGGGCAGTGCAGGGGTTTGTCCTGGAGGGCAGCTGGCTCATGGATCTCCATGTAATGCTGCACCAGCTGCTGCCGCTCCTTGGCTGCAAAGCTGCACAGCTCACAGCGGTGGCTGAAATGCTGCTTCTTGTGCTCCTCCAGAGCCTCACGGGTGGCAAAGGTCTCCTTGCAGGTGCTGCACTCCAGGTGTGGGTGCTGCTTCTGCACATGGCACTTAAGCGTGGCCTCGCTGTGACACATGAAGCCGCAGCGTGGGCAGCCATAGGACACCTTCTCCTCATGCCGCCGCAGGACATGCTGCTTGAGGGCTGTCTCAGAGCTGAAGCGAGCCTCACAGCGGGAGCAGCAGAAGTTGAGCTCGCCACGGTGGCAGCTGTTGACATGTCGGGTGATGTCATTCTGCAGGTAGCTGCTGTAGTCACAGAGCAGGCAGAAGTGGGTGGGTGTCTTCTCGTGCACCCGCAGGCGGTGGATGCGCAGCTTGGAGTTAGTGCCGAAAGTCTGGCTGCAGATGCCACAGGCAATGCGCCCCACACCAGTGTGCAGGGACTGGTGTGCCTCCAGGCGGTAGCGCCGTGTGGTGCTGAACTCACAGTAGCGGCACTTGTGTGGCTTCACCCCCTCATGCTTGATGCGGATGTGCTGCCGCAGGCACCGGGCCTGCTTGCAAGTGAACTCACACTGCCGACACTGCAGCTGTGGCCGCTTGCTGTAGTGCTTGCGGTGCAGCCTGCGGTGCAGCCGCAGGGCTTTGGCCACCTTGGAGGTGAAGGGGCAGGAGGCACAGCGAAACTCGCCCAGGGTCACGCAGCCCCTCTTCTTGTGTGTCTTCATGGCCCGTTCCTGGTGGCAGGTGAAGGGGCAGGTGGGGCAGGAGAAACGCCTCCTCTTGGACAGGATGGTTTTTGTGGGGGCTGCATCCAGCGGGAGCTTGCTGGACTGGCCTGTCTCAACAGTGGCTGGGTCCCCATCATGGAGCTTGGTGCTTTGAGGTCTGTCCTCCTTGGAATGCACAATGTGTTTCTCAGCACAGTGGCTTCTGAGGCCCCGCCGGGTGTGGAAGGCTTCAGGGCACAAGGAGCACCAGAACTGCTCCAGGCTCCGGCAGCCATCCTCTACGTGGGAGGTGATTGTGGAGACACGGGAGCACACGAAGGAGCAGGCATTGCAGTGTAGCTTCCCTCCCTCCAGCCGGTATTTCTCTGTGGGTTTCCCAGGCTGGGAGGGACCAGCAGCTCCCCCTGGCTCAGTGCCATCCCCTTGCTGGGGAGGCTCTTCTGCCACCTCTGTGCTGTCACCCAGCAGTGATTTCTCAGGGGCAAGAGAGCCTGATGCCTGTTCCCCAGTCAAAGGACTGCCTTCTGCCTGTTTTTTATCAGGTAGCAGTTCAGCTTCCCAAGGGCCCTCAGCATGCCTGGACTCCTCTGAGCCTCCCTTCTCACTCTCTGCCGTTTCTGTACCATTATCACCAGGCTGGTCAGCAGGTTGGCACAATCCAGGTGGCCCCTGACTGGCTGGTTTGAGGACTTTGTTCTTCAGGAGAACTGGGCACTTCTTGAGGAGATGAGTGTTGAGACCCCTTTGCTGCTTAAAGCTGGCACCGCACTTATGGCACACGAGTGGGGCCCGGCGGCTCTGACAGCTAGCTTTGGAGTGCAGGGACATAGACTTTTCCTTCCGTGTGATGTACGAGCACTTCTCACACTTAAAGATCTGGCTCTCTGACTGCACCACCAGCATCTGCACCCTGCCCTCCAGCACCAGTGTCTCTGCCTGCTCCTTGTCCTGCTTCCGCAAAGCCTTCAGCACCAACTCCGAGCCACCCCTGGCATTGTCACTGGAGGTGGCCACGTCCTGTGGGACAGGCGAGTGGCCCTGCTCAGGTGTCTTTGGCATGCTGAGCCAGGCCTCTGGGAGCTTGGCTTGGCTGGTGCCTCTCACCTCAGTGTCTGTCATCTGCTTGTGGTGGTCCAAGCACGACCCCTCAAGGTGGCCTGTGGCCTGCCTTAGGGTGTCTTTTCCCTGGATGTCTCCTGCTACTACACTGCCTTTCAGTTTCACCACCTCATCTTCCTGTACATCTGCCTCCTCTTCCTCAAAGTCTGGAGTATCTTCAAGTGTATTGCCATTGTCCTCCAAGCCAAGATCATTCTGGGAGCCCAGCAACTCATAGGCTGCAGGAGGCTCCTTGCAGGACAGCATTTCCACACTCTCTGGCTGTGTCACGCAGGCTTCTCCAGTTAGGTGCTCCAGGAGGGGGTCAGATGAGACATTCAGTGCCTCCAACTGCAAGGTGCAGCTCTCTGCCACATTGTCAGAAGCAGCAAGCTCAGTTGAGCCTGTGGCAGCATCTCTTTGCACACAGTCATCTCCCAGGGCATTGCCAGCAGTGGGACAGCTCTGTTCCCCCTCACCCACACCTCTTTCTCCCTCAGCACCGCTGCTCTCTGTTGGAGTGACATCATGCCCAAGGAGGGGCACCACGAACACTTGCTGGTAGCCCTCTTCCCCCTGGGACTCCAGCTGGGACAGCTTTGCCTTTGCCCACTCTTCCTTGCCAGCAAGGGGAGAGCTGGCATCCACATGCAGGGCTGCACTGAGTTCATAGCCAAAGAGTGCCTCAGATGAGCTGATCTCCAGCTCCTTGCTGGCATAGTTTTCCAGCCAGTCCTTGTCACCGGGAACATAGCCATGAATCTTGCGCTTGTGGAAGAAGAGGCTGGTATTGCTGAAGGTGCAGTATGAACAGAGGGCACAGCGAAACTCCTTCTGCTTGGTGTGCTTGCAGTTCTCGTGGTTATTGTACTTGGTAGGTGCAGTACTGGCACTGGAAGACAGGCACCTGGTAGTTCTGTGAGTGCTTCGCCTGCATGTGCTTCTGCAGCTCGTACTTGCGCTTGCAGGCGAAGCCACACACCTCGCAGATCAGACTTTTGCCCTGGTGCCGCAGCTTGTGGCTGCTCAGCTGGTCAGCACGGTGACACCGGTATGAGCACTGGTTGCATTGTGGTAGGTGCAGTACTGGCACTGGAAGACAGGCACCTGGTAGTTCTGTGAGTGCTTCGCCTGCATGTGCTTCTGCAGCTCGTACTTGCGCTTGCAGGCGAAGCCACACACCTCGCAGATCAGACTTTTGCCCTGGTGCCGCAGCTTGTGGCTGCTCAGCTGGTCAGCACGGTGACACCGGTATGAGCACTGGTTGCATTGGTACCTGAGGGGATAAGCAGAATCAGTCAGGCAGCATGAGGGACTGGGGCAGGCTGAACTTTGTCAGGCACACTTTGCTCTCCTTCTCCATCCCAAACACACAGGGAAGGGGTACTGTTTGGTTTGCCAGATCTGACCTTTGCCATCCAGGCAGTTCTTACCACAGGCAATTCCTAACTGCTGCAGCCCTTGGCACTGCTGGTGCTTTACACCTCCAGCATGGGGATGGGATCTAGATTCCCCGAGTACTCCATACATTGACTGTGTCACCCCCAACACGTTACATCAGCATCATCTCCAGCATCCCTGGAGGTAGGCCAGACCCAAAGGAGATGACAATTTGGCAGAATCCTGAACATACCTAAGTGGTCCCTGGCCCACAAACATCAGCAGAGCCCACAAAGCCAAGCTCAGATATGCAACTCAATGGTAATATACCTCCCTGGTGGCATGGACACACCAAAAATAGCTTTACCTCCACAGCACCATGCTGGCAACAGCCTGCAAGCTCAAAGACCAAATTTCTTATGTGCCAAACAGAGCAGATGGTAGCCAGGCATGAGAGGGTCTGGCACACAATGCAGCCTGGAGATGGTGACCCCAGGAGCAGAATTTGGGGACCCCTGACTATACTGCCAGGCTAGTGGAGCAGGGGGTCTTACCGGAGATCTCCAGTGTGTTTGCGCATGTGGACATTCAGGTAATGCTTCCACTTGGTGATGTACCCGCACTCGGTGCACATGAAGTTCTTGTCGTTGGAGTGGGTCAGCATGTGCTTGGACAGGTAGCTCACATCTCGGCATGTGAAGTCGCAGATCTCACACTTGTGAGGTTTCTCGCCTACAAGTAACACACAAACACCTTCAGCACGATGCCCAGATAAAGCAACACAGCTGGGAACTCCTGCAGGGAAACCAGCTCTGCAGGAGCTGGGTTAACAGCAGGGATGGGAGCAGATCACAGCTTCAGCCAAGTGACACCGGGGTAGCAGAGCCAGTGGCAGAACCCAGGAGCCCTGACCCAGTCCCCGCTGCCCACCTGGAGCCAGGACAGGACACCACCCACATCCCAGCTCAGCTCCTGGGGCACCTGCAGTGGACACCCACCAGTGTGCAGCAGCATGTGCCGGATGAGGACCCGCTTGTGGGCAGTGGCGAAGGCACACTCGGTGCACTTGTGAATCTTCTCATTGGCGTGCATCTTGCCCACGTGGTCGTGGAACTCCACAGGGTTGAAAGTGGCATAGGGGCAGAAGCTGCACTGGAGCTGCTCACTGCCTGGGTGCCCCTGCTTCTTGTGCTTGCGGAAAACGTGCTTGTTGGAGCAGATGAAGTCACACTGCTGGCAGTGGAAGGCATAGTGGGTTTTCCGGTGAGCCTCCATGGCCTCAGCTGTGCCAAAGAGCAGTGAGCAGGCATGATATTTGCACTCCACTGCCTTGATGCCATGAGCATCCTTGAGGTGACGGACAAACTCCTTCCGGTCCTCTGCACAGTAGTCGCAGCCACCCTGGAAGCAGCTCAACCTCTTGGGTTCAGCTTTGTGAGTCTTCAAGTGCTCTTTGAGGGCCTGGCTGAGCTGAAACTTCTCTTCGCAGACAGGGCAGGAGTAAACATCAGAGTAGAAATTGGAGATATCCTCATGCATGCTGGCCATGTGGCGGTTGAGAGCATTCTTCTCCACCGAGCTGTAGTGGCAGAGCGGGCAGCGATGGGCCTTCTCACCTGTCTCCCGCATCATGTGGATTTTCAGCTTGCTTTTACTGGTGAAGTACTTGTGGCAGTTGGGGCACTGCAGGCTGGGGTCAGGGAAGTGCAGGTGGAGGTGCTCCACCAGGTGTGTCCGCTTCTTGAAGCATCGCTTGCATTCGGGGCACATGTGGGTTTTGTAGAGGTACTCAGAGCCCTCTGCAACATCACCTGGGGGAGCAGATGAGAGGGAGCTGTCAGCAGGGGGAAAAGATGGGAGAGCAGAGGCAGATATTCTGTCCCTGACCTGGCTGTGCCAGGCTGAGGGTTTATACACGTGCAGTCACACAGCAGCCACCTACTTGGAGAGACTGTCCCTACCCCAAGCCACCAGCACATTTCAGGTGAGCTCTTTCCAGCTCAGCACTGGCAAAGTGCAATCTACATCAGACCAGCCCATGTACCCCGAACCCAAAAGCCAGGCAGACTTTTGTCTAAACCTGGCAGTGGGTGTGGACAGGCAAGAAAAGAGACACATTTGCTTGGGCAGAGGTCAGGGGAACAGTGCACTGATACATGCAGGAGATGTGGGGTTGCTGGATGGCATGGGACCCCCAGGCCCTATCAGCCTGGCCCACATTTTCCTGCCAGCCCTGAGACTGGGGCTGCTTGCTCATCACACAAAGTCCAAGCAGCTCCTGGCAGGGCCCCACATCCCACCTTTGAAGTGCTGTGCCTGTGGCACTCTGGCTTTCTCAGAAGTCGCCTTTCCATCCTCTTTGGCCTTGGCTTCACTGAGGCTCTCACCATCCTCTTCCAGCGACTCATCCCCACTGCTATCCGAGTGGTCTTCTCCAGCAGATGCTTTCTGCCCCCTCAAGGAGCTGTCCACAGTACCTGCAGGCTTTGCTGGCCTGGCTTCTGTGCTGGCTTCCCAGCCAGCATGGCAATTCCCTGCATCCTCCTGCCTTTCTGCTGCTGCTTCAGTGGGGAAAGAGAGAGATCATCATGCTCTAGGCAAGAGGGAACCACCCCACCTCACCCACCTCACCCACACATGCGCAGAAAAACCTCCTGGCTGAGATGAGGGATACAAACCATGCCACAGGGAGGAAGGAATGCAGGGCTCCCTGGCCCTCCACCACCTCACCCCCGACTCTTCCCAGCTGTCACTGGGATGCACAGACACAGTCAGCTTCTGCAGCACCCACATGCCTCAGTGTCCCCCCCAGCCATACCTGGTGGCAAGATGCAGCACTGCTCAAGGCCACGGGGGTCTGAACTGGGGGTGCCGCCTGTTGCAGCCATCTCAGAATGGGGCTCTGTGGTGTGGCCCTTCCTGTGCTGCCAGAAGAGCTTGGCATTGGCGGTGATGAAGTCGCAATGGCCACAGTGGAAGGGGAAGTGTGTGCGATGGTGCTGCTCCATGGCTGGGCGGCTGGGGAAGAGCAGTGGGCAGGCCCGGCAGGCGCAGGACACAGGGGAAGCCCCGTGCAGGTGGCGCAGGTGGCTGCGCAATTGCTTGCGGTCCTCTGTGGTGAAGTGGCAGCCCTTCTCGGGGCAGGGCAGGGCTCCCGGCGGGGCACGGTGCGTCTTGAAGTGCTCCTTGAGCTGGCCAGGCTGTGTGAACACCTCCCTGCAGACAGGGCACAGCAGGGACTCGGGAGCAGAGCCCTCCTGCAGGCCGGCTCTGGGTGGCTCTGAGCCCCCTGGCTCGCTCTCGCCCTTGCTGGCAGAAGCCAACAGTGCCCCAGGGAGTTCCAGGTGCCCCGGGGGGGTCAGCAGCAGGCACTGATGCTGGGACAGCAGAGAGGCCTCTGGGAAACTCTGGCCACACCTCTCACAGAAATACAGCTCCACCACTTTGACCAGAACCTCTGCAGAGAGCAAGGGGTGAGTGTTAAAAAGAGCTTTCACTGGTCCCAGAGTTTGGGACCAGCAGTTCAGTTCCAGCTCCGGGCAAAGAGGATAAACCCTTGTGGTCACAAATTACATCTTGAGAACTGCCACCACCCAGGTGACCATGATGACCAGGTTTGTCCCTTAGCATGCAGAGATGTAAGGCTGGCTTGGGCCAGTTTCCAGTAGGACGTGCCCACACTTGGCCTGGGTGGGAAGCATGCTGGGGGCAACAGTCCACGGTGGAGATCTCCACGTGGTCCCTACTGACAGCCTCGAGTGATCCCCTCACCCAGGACACAGCTCCCACAGCCACTCTCCCCATCCACACATCCAGCTCGTGCCAGCTCTGCACTCAGTGATGGCACCAGACTCCTGATACACCTCTCACTAGAGACATGAGGGCACCGTGGTGTCCCCAGGGATGCTGGCTGGAGGGGATGGGGGCCCTGGCCAGACCTCTCTCCCTCTCCTGAGTGCTGTGGGGCCCAGGTTACCCTCCCTGCACCACATACCTGTGGCACTGGTCGTGTTGCTCAGCGTCATGTTGCCAGCCACTGCCTCGATGAATATTTCCACATTGCTTCCTTCAGCATGAGCCCCTTCCCCTGGCATCGATGCCTCTGCCAGCAGCAAGTCCTGGCTGGCAGTCAGAGGTGGGGTACCAGCCAGGCCAGTGCTGGCCACACCAGGACTTCCAACAGCTCCTGCCTCTCCTGGCGTGGGCAGGAGCAGCTCTGAGCACAGGGCCTCCATCTCCCTGCTGGCACCTTCGGACACAGTCACTGCTGCGCTCATTGCCGCCGGGCACTGCCTTGGTGCTGGGCAGGAGGGCCTCTCACCCTGAAACAGAAGGAAGCCTTTAAACAAGGGACAACCCAGAGGCCCCACGGGATTTTGGGGGCAGCCCGTGGTGCCAGTCCCCAGGCAGGGTGTGAACCAGGGTAGTTTAACGCTGGCACCTTTCTGCTGTGCCCCAAGCAGGCTGCTGGCAAACCCCCCTGCCACGGGGTAGACACGAGTGCAAGGACACCTGTACCCTCCCCAGGGATGCCGGAGGCCTCCCCTTGAGCTCAACAGCCAGGATTCGCTTCCCTGGTCCCGTCGGGCCGAGCCCGAGCCC